CTCAGAGCCTGCAGTGCAAGAGACTGCTTCAAGGGCCAAAGGACTCCAGCTGAGCTTTGGCCGGCAACCAAAGCTCTTACAGTGTCTCAGATGCGAGCCACCAGGACAAAGGAGGTCCAGAGCATCAAGTTCCAAGATCCAGCCAGGACTTGCATGTCGTCATGTTGCAGCCTTACAGTGGCATACCTGCTGTACCAGTCAGGACACAGACAGCTTACCGGAGACGAAGCAGCCTCAGAAGTAACAACAGAACCTGAGGATAGCCCAGAAACCATTCGCATTGAGAAAGCAGAGAAGGATTGGGCAGAGAGGCAGAAGAAGAAACGAAAGGCTGCTGCACCTCACTCAAGCTCAGACTGTGAAGAGACTGGCCAGCCCAATCCCGGCTTCAGAAGTTCATGCTGCACTGATTTCCTGAGCTACGTGCTCGGCAATGTCCTCTCCACTGCAGAGCTGCGGAAGTTGAGATCCAGAGAAGTACATTTTGCAGAATTCTGTGCTGGAATGGGTACCGGTTCCCAGTCATTGGTTGCTCGTTTTGCATCGTCGCTGTGTGTTTAGTTGCAGATGCTCTTCGTCTTTGATGTATGTTGCAGCTTGACCCGAGGAGATTCTGCGCAAAGTTTTGCAGCAGGATCATGATGTATCGGTCATCCCAAAACCTTGTTTTTACACCGAGCTTGTCAAGTGGAAGCGCGATGTGCTGCAGAATATGTTGGCAGCACAGGGGCACGAGTGGGAACACATTCCCGAATCTTGGCAGGATGTGGGATGCTCTTTAGGGCTCTTGGTTGATTTGCAAAGTTCACCAATCACGAGCAGGGTGATATGATTATTGTCAGATGGTTAGTGGCCTACCAAGGTGTATGGGGCCACATCCGAACTGCAGGCAGTGCCCAGAGAATCCATGCCAGCACTTTCCCTGGCCATTGTCGGTGTGGAGTGTGATGATATCTCGTGCCAGACCTCTTCGCCGAAAAGCATTCTAGATGCTAAGGGGCACAGTGGAAGCAGCTTTCTTCAATTCCTTGAGTTCATCCAACGCTTGGAATGGTCCCAGAGACCAGTTGGCATCATGTGGGAATGTGTGAAAAACTTGGACGCTCACAGGAAGACTGTGAATGAAAAGGGGACAGAAGTCATCAAGGACCTCATGCGCAAGCAGGGGTATGTGTCGAGCTTCCAGGCAGCTTTTCCAGAATCATTTGTGCAACAAGTTGAGGCTTGCAGCTCATGTTTGCTTCAGTGGCCTGCCCTTGAGGTGGTCAACTCGAAACATTTTGCTTTGCCACATAGCAGGAACAGGGTCTATGGAATCAGCTTGAAATTGGACCTGGCGGCAACTTGGCCTGCAGAATGCAAATCAATGAAACAGGCCAGCTTGTTCTTTCATTGACCACCTTGAGATCCCAGGCTCCGGGGGCTGAGCGGAAAGCTGGAGAGAAGCTCTCGTCAGCGTGGCGACTAGTCAGACGGTGTCAAGTGCAATGGCACGAGCCTTTGGTGGATTTGTGGCAGAGAGCTACTGATAAGCAAGCAGCCTAGCTGAACAAGCATATTGCTTGGGCAGTCAGTGTGGGATACATGTTTCTGTTCCAATTTGCTAGTGTGCAGGAACTTCGGAAACGACAGATGGCAACCGGCAGGGCAGCATCTTCTCAGAAATGGCCTGCAGACCATGCAGCTTACAAGGAGAAGCACAACATCACAGAAAAGGATCTACAAGTTCCACAGGTCAGATGGGTGCATCAGTGTTCCGGCCTCAGCATTCGGGTGGTTCTTGAACCTCAGATTGAAGGCCTTCTGCTTGCACAAGGCTTGCAGGAGCTGGATTTGCCAGAAAGAGAATTGGAAGCAACCCATCTGTCCTTTGCCAAGCTGCGCAAGACATGGGGCCATGAATCTTGCTCTGCAAAAGGTTGTAAACCATTCGGTGTCAATGTATGACCTCCTTGACTGGTCCGGTGTGACAAACCAAGGACATCGACCAGTCTCTCCTGTGTCTTGCATTCATTTTGGCAGCTTGAAGGGGTTGCTGATCGCTGGGTGAAGTTGACATATAGTTGGCAGCAGCGGCCCAGGTTCGTCGTCCCCAGCGGAGACACTTTGCAACGACACAAATGGAGAACAGTGCACCCATGCCTTCTTCCGCAGAAGCGGTTTTTGTACTTGGACGAGAATGGGCTGCACCTGAACAAGTCTCCGACGTTTGTGATGAGCCTGCAAGGCCTGTCAAGCCGTGAGCTCAAAGCGGCAGGCCTGACAGATCTTACAGTCAAGCAGGCCCAAGAGCTCGCTGGCAATGGTTTCACAGCCAATGTGGCTGCCAGTGTATTGGTTTCCATTCTGGTGCACATCCTGCAATAGCCAATCAGCTGCTTTGAGTTGCTGTTCAATCCGGAAAAGCAGAGCCATTGCAATTGCAAGTGTGCCGAATGCTAAACGCAGAGCTTACACAGGATCAAGGGTCTACAGATCACATCTTCGTGAAGCAAAACTGAAGAGACCTTGTCGGAATCACCAGTCAGAGGGAATCGAGAGGCACTAGGCAAATGAACTAATGTTCCTCAGAACGTGCATTCTCGATACAGGCTGCAGCGGCGGCATGCTTCAGTTGGACCAGGTGCGTACAGCTTGCTTTGAGAGCAGCATTGTTTGATTGAAGAAAGCAGGAATGGAGATTGTTCACGAGCATGTCCACTGCTTGCTGCCTGCGCAGCTTCGTTTCTCAAGCAGTGCACAGCAGGAGCCTGATAGCCATGAACCCGTTTAGCCCCACACTGGTCCAAATTGCGAGTGTGAAAAGATGACGCACCACAGAAACCACTTACCCGAGCCTCAACCCGAAGACCTAAACCCTATAAATCCACCAGGACTTGCCGAAGGAAAGTAGATTGCTAGGAGCATGAACTTACTCCTCATGAGTCCTATCGGAGACACCGGTAGCCATGATGAGTTTCGCAAACAAGTTCTCTGCATCTTTGCAGACATGCCGGAAGCTGCAGAAGCAATGCTTACATTGCAAGCACAGAGCCTTCTCGGCATGATAAGAAGTGAAGCTTTCCATGCCCCACACACACACACGCAACTACCCTGCACTCATTGAGGCTGCTACGAGAAGGCGGCCCCTTATGTGAACGAGCTACAAAAGTACTCGACCCAGCTTCATCAGCTTGATCGGGCTGCAGCCGACCGAGACATCCTCTGGATTTTTAGCAGGTCTGCAATGGTATCAGACCGCGAAGAGAAGCAGAGCAATAAGAGGAAGCTGCAGTCCTCCTCGGCTGTCAGAATGGCGAAGAGAAGGAGAAGGAGCTCCTCCACCAGCCCTGCACCTCATGAATGTGAGAGGAAGGTGCAGTCCTCCTCGGCTGTCAGAATGGCGAAGAGAAGGAGAAGGAGCTCCTCCACCAGCCCTGCACCTCATGAACATGAGAGGGAGGTGCAGTCCTCCTCAGCTGTCAGAGTGGCGAAGAAACGGAGAAGGAGCTCCTCCACAAGCTCTGCACCTCATGAAAATGTGGGCCCAGATGAGGTGACCAGTGATCCAGAAGGTACTTCTGAGCCCGGCCATGCAGATCAGGCTTGCGAATCAACTTCTGAGCCCGAATCTGATGAGTTGGACCTGCAGTCCAGCGAGGACGGCAAGCCTTCGAAGCCCCAGAAGAGGAAGCACTACAAAACAAGGATTGCTACCAAGAGGCCCTCTGTACAACTGGCAGGCATCGTCCCTGCAGATGACTTGAAAGTTTGCCTGAAGAGTGCATATGCCTTTCTTCGTGCAGCTCATCTGGAGTGTGAGTTTCCCTGCTTAGCTTTGCCCAGGTTAGGGATACATGTCTTGATAGTCCGAGCCCTGAGCCCAGGTGGGTGCATCTCGGGTACACAGAGTTGCCAGGACTGCAACATGCAAGACGTTTGTTAGCTTCATTGACTCCTTTGTTGCTGGGCCACTTCACTGAGATCACAAGGTATTGCAAGGGCAGCCAGACAGGCGCCGTGAGGCAAACTCCATTCGGTCGAAGAACCCGGCCAGCTCTCCCATGCTGCGGGTTTGCAAGCTCTTTTTGTGGCATCGGTACCAGTTCGATGCTGAAGGCATGCCAGACAAATTCAGATTCGAGACAAGCTCTGTTGGCAGCCACAGGACTACAATAGTGCATTCGTCCCTCCTTCCAACAGCTTCAGTTTGTTGTTTTTGTAATGTGACATGCTTGTAATCAAGCTTGAGTGTGGCGATGTGCTGCAGTTCTGAAGGCAGCAGCAATCGGCAGCGAGAAGTGGGTCGTCCTCCTCTTCGGATGTGGATGCTGCTGAAGATGCTGAAGCTCGTGCAGTGGCATCGTGCTCGCTTCAGTGCTGCTGTTTACTGGAAGCGCCTGAAAAGGTGCTGACCGGTCCAGGTGTCGGTGCAGGTGCAAGACGGTACCTGGGTGTGGCGCGGCCATCGATGATGTTCCTCTGGCTGCAGCAGTGGGCAAGGGAAAACAGTCACCCTGTGCCATCGTTCACAACATTCTGCCGAGCAGTCCGAGAGTGCCGTGGGTGGTTGAAGTTCAGAAAGAATGCTGGTGAACATGCGGTCTGTGACACTTGCTGGCTGCCGGGCTGCACTGCTGGCTCGGTTCATGTCCTGCCTATTGCTGTGTCAGTTCATGTCCTGCCTATCGACCAGCGACCTCAGGAGCTTCAAGCAAAGGCTCCGGCAGCATCTCAGTCCGGCTGAGAGGCAACAGCGGCTGGGCAGCCCAAAACAGACATGAGAACCCAAGTCCCAAAATGTGACGAGTAACTTCGGTCCTGACCAAGGACCCTGGATGATTACATCAGGCACCTCATGCTACAATGGCAGGATCGGGAGGCTGATCTGCGATGGGCAGCTCTTAGTGTTCAGCTACGAACAAGTTTGAGTTCCTCGTCTTGCCATGCATGGGTTGCTGCTTTTTTGTGTACAACACTAAGCACACTTCGGTTTTCGTGCCCAGCTTTGCAAGAAAGGAATGGGGGTCCGACTCCGGGACATCCAGCGGTCCCTGAGTGTAGTCTTGATCAGGGCCGACGGCCTGGACCAGGCAAAGCACAAGTGCCCAAGGTCTATGACAAAGACACATGGGTTTGAAGCCCTGCTGCGTCCAAGCTTGTCAGTGCTCATGCTTTGGGCCCAGGGCCATGCGCTGGGGTTCGAGATCAAGGATGCAGATGTGTACAAGAATACAAATTCCAATGTGGAGGGGATTTATCGGCTTCTCGACAAAGTCTACAACAACTGCAATCGAGCACTTCCTGTCCACATCTGCATCGTACAGGACAACTGCAGTCGGGACTGCAAAAATGGTCTCCTCCTCTCGTGGTGTGTCAAGCTCCACGTATTGCAGGTCTGCGAAAGGATCAGCCTGCAATATCCCAGCAAGGGGCACACTCACGGGCCACTTGATGGGCTCGGAGGCCAGGCTGTGACAAAATGCAGTGCCTGCGAGTTCTCCGATGCCGACAGTTTGGTGGAGATCTACGATGGGTTCTTGCAGCAGTCCACTGTGGATGGGGGAGCAAGCTTCAGAGGTGCCTGGAAGGGCAACTCGGCAGCTTAACTCAGAGGATTTTTGGATCTGTTTTGTGTCCTCAGTTGAAGTAGCAGCCATGAATGGTTTGATCGCAAGGCGATGAGCAAGCCAACTGGCAGAGCTGGTGGGAGGAGGTCGGTTTGGTCTTCTCCAACCTGACAGGCCCGAAGGCCCCCCATTCGCTACTCGAGCTGCATGGAACCTCTTTTCTGCTGGAACAATTTGTTGAACCGGAGCAGCAGACCCTAAACCCGAAAGTGTCGGAAGCAAGGTTCGAGATCACGACCTTGAAAGATCTCGGCTACCTGCAAGTGCCTGTGACAACATGGCCAGGTGCCCCACCGTCCCATCCTGATGATGTAGTTTGTGTGGTGCGCCAGCGAATGGCTTCACGGAGGCATTTTCAAGTCTGTCTTCTGGTACCTGGGACAGAGGTTCCGGCGCTGCGAGCCAGATTGTCAAGGCAGCCGTCAGGTGTTTACCCGCGAAAAGCTGTGAAGGACCGGGACAAAGTGGTTGCGAAAGCATTGCAGGCTCACCGAGAAGGGTGCATCAATGCCGCTGTGCTGTAAACTCTAAGTAATTGATTTTCTTTGCTTCTGGCACTGGTCTGCCAAGTTCTTCGGGAAGCCAAGGATGCTGCTCGTGATTTCTTGGTCGGCTGGGCCAAGGGCACTTTGAGACGACACCCGCGACCTGCCCAGTATGAGTTCTTGAACCACAACAGGCCATCTCAAGAAGGGATTTGAGTCATTCCTGTTCATTTTGTAAAGCAAGAGTTTGCTGCAGCATGCAGATGAGCTGTGAATTGAGTGTGGGTTTGCGGCTTAAACTGCCCTGACAAGGCATGCGTTTGATGCTCTTGCTCCTGCAGCTGCAAGGGCTCCACTGGCACCAGAAGAGTACCGGCCGATACATGTGCAGGCAGATGGAGGAGGCAACTTGCCCCCAGGGCCTGAGGACGATGAAGCAGACGAGCTGCCGGAGTAAAAGTGTCACAGCACAGGCCTACATAAAGGGTTGCATCACTATTAAACCGAAGGGCACTTGACTGCATGTTGTGACAGGCCTGATGTGATCCCTTAACCAGAACATGCCTTGGGATGGCATGCATGATGCGACCCCTAAACCAATAAAACATAACATGGTATGGGATGACATGTGTGATGCGACCCCTAAACCCCTAAACCACAACATGGCATGGCATGTTATGCATTATGTCACCCTAAGCCCCTAAAACAGAACATGACATGACATGCCTGATGTGACATGACTCACTAGCCCTAAACCATGTATGATGCAACCCCTAAACCAATAAAACATAACATGGCATGGGATGACATGTCTGATGCGACCCCTAAACCCCTAAACCACAACATGGCATGGCATGTTATGCATTATGTCACCCTAAGCCCCTAAAACAGAACATGACATGACATGCCTGATGTAACATGACTCACTAGCCCTAAACCATGTATGATGCAACCCCTAAACCCGTAAACCAGAACAGGACATGGCATGTCATGCATTATGTGCCACGGTTTAGGGTTTTGGGTTTAGGGTTCCAGAACATGACATGGCATGACATGACATGCCTGATGTCACATGATACACTAGCCCTAAACCCTTAACCATGACCTCTAAACCCGAGGACCTCAACGGCCCTAGATCTCTCAACTGTTACTACGACTAAGTGTTTTGGTACACAAACCTGTATTCAAGTCATCTGAATTGATGGTTTTGCCACAAATTACAGAACGCAACTGGTTGCAATCTGTTTTTTGTGGCAGAAACCTGCAACTAAGAATCATCTCAATTCATGGCTGTCTGAGAAAACTACAGAACCCAACCGGTTGCAATCTGAGTCTTGCTACATAGAACGGTATTAGCCTTTCAAATGTATGGATTTGGTATATAGGTGGCTATAGATGGCATTGGACCGGAGTCTAAGGATGTACTACTGTGCGACTGGGGAATTTGTCTAATGCAGCTGTGATGCAGGAAGCCTGGAGGGAAGCACTTGACTACTTCTTCGGCAGTGCTATGACATCCAAGAAATTCCAGGCCGGGCAGGGGTCGGTGCAGCTTGGTTGAGAGTTAAGATTTGTCATGATTCGGAGGATGCAAAAGAACCCACGAGCACCTGGCAGAGCAGGATTTAAGGATGTTTGATGGTGCCCCAGGCTTTTGATTGTCCTGCATCCGCTCGGTTCACTGCTCAAAGAAACCGCTTGCCTTAGACTCGTCCCTGTGCGACTTCTCTCTGCAGCCTTAGACTCGTGCCTTCACGACTTCTCTCTGCAATGACGGACCTCTCCTTACCGAAGAGAGCGAGATTCGTGGAGAGGATGAAGCAGACACCGGAGTACAAAGTCATGAAAGCTGCAGAGGCCAAGATGTGCCCTACAAATGTGCGATGCCCAACTCCGGAAGCCATGGTATACACCCCGAAGAGACCTTGGGAGACCCAGGCATGCATTTGGCGCCGGCAGATCAGGCAGTACAGGCAGACGGACGATGAGACAAAGGGTCAGATGAAAAAGGCAACGGAGGAGCAAGTGCTCTGCTTTGTTTCCTGAGATCCTTCATGGCCGAAAATTAAGCATAAGATGGTGTGCGAGTGTACAGTGCCGTCTACGCACACAAGATGACCCGGGGCTGGTGGGTGCAAAAGCAATGCTTTCCGAGACTCCAGCAGCAGTAGTAGTAGTGGGTCCATGTCGCTGCGGCTTGTGTGCAGTGCACTGCTGTGAATGCAGGACATAACTGCTTGACTGTGACAGTTTGTTTTGTCTGGGCAGGTCCGACCAATCTGCTTGCGACAGCCGATGCCCGGAGTTGGAGCAGGCGGGCCTGTAGTGCTCTGCCCCTTTTTGCATCAGGACTTGTGCAATCGCCTGAACACTGACTTCCACATTGCTAGTGCTCTGCCCTACACACCCTAGCTCGTAAACCCCAACAGGAAATGATGTGTATGCCATGACATGGGCACTGAAGCCGAAACCGAACTGACTGGTCTGCATCTCTTATCCCTAACCCCCAATGCCAAGCCTGCAGCCGTACCCTCACAGTCGTTTTTTTCCATGCACACTGCAGAAGCAGAGGACGAACGGAGACAGGAAGCACACAATGATCTGAACAGTGGTTGAGTCAAGTAGAGAGAACATTCCGAACTCTAGTTGCTAATCATGCCGTGGCAATGCTTGCTCTGCACAACGCGCCGAACTTACCGGCGTGACAAGATGTGCAGCAGGTGCAGGCCAACAAAGCGAGGATGCAACAACAGGATGGTGCCGACGATTAGGTTACGGAGGAAGCTCAGTCTCGACGGAGTGACTCAGAAAAGACGGGCGGTGGACAACCATGTCGAGACTTACCAAGAGCACATAAACCATGTCGAGACTTACAAAGAGGCCCTCTTGAATCTCTTCAACGATCTGCGGGCTTTCCTGACAATGGCTGACTTGCATTCGATCATGTGCAATGCCCACAACATGCTCGATAACCTGAAGCCCAATCCTGGTGCTATACCTCCCTTCAGCAGAGAATCTGCTTTGGCTCTGGTTTTTGCTGGGATGGACTTGTCAGCCAGGGTTTCAAGTGACGACATGGACAAGTTAAAGAAAATCCTGCTGTGCAGCCTTAAGCAGAACAAGGCACGAGTGATTGCAGCGCACTGCCAGTGGATCAATGCCACGAACTTCATGAGGGGCTCACTTTTGGGGGATTGAAGATGCACAAACGATGTGTCTTTTGCTGGGGACCTGAGATGCTTCTGGGGTATTGATGAAGAAAAAAGTGAGTGCCAGGGCAGTGTTAAGCACCGAAAATCCGAAGAAACTCTTGCAATCAAATCGAAGCTGGGATGCTCCATAAACACCACAGTCACAGTCAATCCTCAGCTCAGCTCCGACTCCCCTAAACCCCCAACCCCAACCCTTTTTCACTACGAGGCTGATGGCAGTTCCCTTGCGGCCTCCCTGCCGCTCTTGCGCAGGCCGGGTTTAGACATGCATCAACCCTCACTTTACCTGTAGTGGCTGTGGTGCGAGACATTTATGCAGAGACCTGATCTAATTGATCTCCTGCTTTGACAGTTTCACCCTCGGACGCATACCAGCTTGCACCAGCCGGACTTCCTGCAGGCTGTAAGAAGAGCTGGAGCCTAACATCTGGCGGTGCGGTTCTTTGCAGCCAACATGTCCGCCCATGCTTGACATGTGACTTCCTGTGCATGCTGGCCACAAATCTGTACCAGGTGAGCCCCAATGCTTACGAGGCACACATGGGTGGCTAGATCATGATGTGTGTGGTCTTATTCTGGAAGCCGTCCTTTTTGGATGACGAGCAAAGTTCATTAGCGTTTTCATGTATCCGGGCCTTTCAATCTTCCGTCCACGACCGTGTGCCATGAAACAATGGCTCTTTGCAAAGGATCGTCTTGTGCGACTTCATAGGCACCCTAAACCCCAACCCCCCAACCCGAGCCGAGATGGGACCCCTAAACCCCTAAACCAGAACAGGACATGGCATATCATGCATTATGTGCCGCGGTTTAGGGTTTTGGGTTTAGGGTTCCAGAACATGACATGGCATGACATGACATGCCTGATGTGACATGATGCACTAGCCCTAAACCCTTAACCCTGACCTCTAAACCCGAGGACCTCAACGGCCCTAGATCTCTCAACTGTTACTACGACTACGAAGTTACAGGTCGCAACTGGTTGCAATCTGTGTTTTGCCACAGACGCCTGTATTCAAGTCATCTGAATTGATGTTTTTGCCACAAGTTACAGAACGCAACTGGTTGCAATCTGTATTTTGCCACAGAAACCTGTATTCAAGTCATCTGAATTGATGGTTTTGCCACAAGTTACAGAACGCAACTGGTTGCAATCTGGTTTTTGCCACAGAAACCTGTATTCAAGTCATCTGAATTGATGTTTTTGCCACAAGTTACAGAACGCAACTGGTTGCAATCTGTTTTTTGCCACAGAAACCTGTATTCAAGTCATATGAATTGATGTTTTTGCCACAAGTTACAGAACGCAACTGGTTGCAATCTGTATTTTGCCACAGAAACCTGTATTCAAAATTCCAGTCATCTGAATTGATGGTTTTGCCACAAGTTACAGAACGCAACTGGTTGCAATCTGTATTTTGCCACAGAAACCTGTATTCCAGTCATCTGAATTGATGGGTTTTGCCACAAGTTACAGAACGCAACTGGTTGCAATCTGTATTTTGCCACAGACCTTGTATTCCAGTCATCTGAATTGATGTTTTTGCCACAAGTTACAGAACGCAACTGGTTGCAATCTGTGTTTAGCTACACAAGCCTGTATTGAAGTCATCTGAAATGATGGTTTTGCCACAAGTTACAGAACGCAACTGGTTGCAATCTGTGTTTTGCCACACAAACCTGTATTCAAGTCATCTGAATTGATGGTTTTCCAACAAGTTACAGAACGCAACTGGTTGCAATCTGTATTTTGCCACAGAAACCTGTATTCAAGTCATCTGAATTGATGGTTTTGCCACAAGTTACAGAACGCAACTGGTTGCAATCTGTTTTTTGCCACACAAACCTGTATTCCAGTCATCTGAATTGATGTTTTTGCCACAAGTTACAGAACGCAACTGGTTGCAATCTGTATTTTGCCACAGCAGAAACCTGTATTCCAGTCATCTGAATTGATGTTTTTGCCACAAGTTACAGAACGCAACTGGTTGCAATCTGTATTTTGCCACAGAAACCTGTATTCCAGTCATCTGAATTGATGGTTTTGCCACAAGTTACAGAACGCAACTGGTTGCAATCTGGTTTTTGCCACAGAAACCTGTATTCAAGTCATCTGAATTGATGTTTTTGCCACAAGTTACAGAACGCAACTGGTTGCAATCTGTTTTTTGCCACAGAAACCTGTATTCAAGTCATATGAATTGATGTTTTTGCCACAAGTTACAGAACGCAACTGGTTGCAATC